GTGTCGACATCATCGGGCAGTTGGTAAAATTTTTTTGCAAAATTTTACTCAAACAAACACATTAACATATCACAAATGATTGCTGTAAAAGATCTGCATCGCCCTTGAATCACCCTATACTTATTATTTATGTAGTGTGTATGTATACTGCATGTGGGTTCGAAAGGCACACACATGTATGCATCCAATACACACGCGTGCGAACTGGCCCCCTGTTGGCTGCCTTTACTGCCTCCTTCGATACAGTTTGTCATCGAGTTTAGCCACCGCACAAGCTTTAGAAATTGCGAAAATTGCTGCGCTTCCTTTAGTTTGCATATTTGACTTGTCACTTGAGGAAAAGCAAACGCTGCAGCAATAAAAACAAGCAAGTACAGCAACTACAAAAATAACAATCACAATTATGTTCGCACAAAACAAGCAAATAGCAAATTTAATCTCGCAAAGCCGTTGTTGAGCGGAATCATATCGTACGAGAGTGTGCGTAACAGTAAATAAGTAAGTATGTACGTGCGCTCCAGCGTTGCCAGATAATTGCCACGTCCTCTACTTTTATGGGCGTAAACATTAAATTAATTTCGATTTCGATGAAATTTAGTTCATACTCTCCATTTTATTGGAAAAACATAAATTTAAAATTTGGGGACTATTGGAAAAATATAACGCCCATAACTCGCAACAAATGTGGGCCAATCATATAAATACATATATACTTAGTCAGTATCACAAAGATATTTTAAAATAAAGCTTTTATAGCACCCTTTTGGTGGACTCACATATCTTATCTTAATATTACATATGTACAACTTGTGTATAAGTTATGTAACTAAATTCGACTTTTCAAACTAAAATCTTCTGAAATCGCTTTCGCCTGACAATGTGATACACATGTGTTTCAATAAACTGATGAACTAAGTTGAATTTGATTGGTCAAATACGTGGCAACCCTCCTAAATAAAGGTCAGAAATAAAGAGTTTCCAAACCCATTCAAATTTTGTTTCCCTCAAAATAATTGCTAATAGAACGTACAACAATACGAGCTCAAAAAGCGATTTTAAAGCCATTGAGATGTCGGTAATATTTTCAAATCTTTTAATAACTTTTATAAAAAAAAATTGTATGACCAATTAAAAAATAAACCGGAAAGAAAATATTAATTCTTAACTGTTTAAAAAATGAGAAGATTCGGTATTACCAATCGCGAGAAAATAAATAAAATCTAAACAATTTCGAAAAAAATTAATAGCTTTAACCTCTAAAATAATTGGAATTTCGGAAAAATTTGAAAATTGTATTTTTTTTTATCGTTGTGAAGCATAAACAGAAAATTGCACTAAAAAAGCTCGACCTTCGAAAAAATTGTGGCTCACTTCACAAATTTTTACTCTTATAAATAAAGCCCTTTCAAAACCATTTCGATTGATACCAAAAGGTAACAAAAATGGGGAAAAAATTTGGTGTGAGAATGTTAAATCCGTTTCGGATAGATTTTTTTCTGATGGTTACGAATTCGTAGATAAGAAGTTTCTATCAGCTCCAGGTTTCGAGAAAAAGGTAATGGAGACTTCCACTAAGGCTTAGATTACAGTTTAAGCTATAATACATAAAAATTCCACCCTTGTACATTGGCCTGAAATACGGTTGCCAGACGTACTGATTTTATCAGTACAGTTCTGATTTTTCAACTCTTATACTTCATATTGAACGTAATTTTAAAATGAAATGTATAGAATTCTTTGACTATTTAAAGAATGAAGATGGAAATAATCTCATTATTGCTATTCAAAACTGTCATAAATACAAAATAATTTATTGTCTTCTGTGTATATTGATGTGTACAATCATGTTAAAATGAATAACACTTTTATTTTTTTATGAACTATATTTTATTTATATACTCTTGCGTTTTAAAGTATTATCTGTTACTTACGTTCATAATTTTGCTTTGAACAAAAATGTACTGAAAATTACTGATTTTTTTTAACGTGAAAAAGTCCAACGTACTGATTTCGTGCATAAAAATTCGCATCACTGCAATTTGACCCAAAAGTTTTCGACATCCTACTTTACCCCAAAAAAAAAAAAAAAACAGTGGCAACGCTGGTGTGCGCTTTCTTGTGATAGTAGTTGCTTATGTATGTAAATAGCCGCAATGATGAATTGGCGATGGGAGTAAGGGCAATTGAAAAGTGTGTGATTTTTTCTCCAGAGCACACAAGAAGAAATGAATGCATGATTGTACGAGTATGTGCTGCATATTTCTGGAGAATATCAACTTAAAAGTTTAAGGAATTTGCACATGTTTCTCGTGGTGATATTAAACTACTTCTCAAAGAATTGCTTTAGGCGTAGATATAAACGAAAAATAGAGACTGCTGACTTATCGTGAACTTTGTTTTAGTTACAGAAAATTTTTTCAATATATATAACATACATAACGTCGTTTAAAGTACAAAACCGCGTATGTGAGGTACAATAAATTATTTTCTAAAGAGCAAAAGCACTCATACTTCAAAATGGTTCCCTTTTTCATAAAGAAATAGGCATGTCAGTGGCAAAAATACATCGATATTTTTCCTCGCATCGATGCATCGAAACTTACAGCGATATTTGTCGATGGAAATAAAACATTAAGAAACTTTTTCGGTATGCAGTTTTATACATTAATCCATAGACATACATTTAATACATTAATATAAGTTAATAATCTTGGAAAATAGGCGTGGCACCGCCCACTTATAACCACATATGTGTATCTCGGTAACCGTTCGAGCAAAATCTACCAAACTCGGTATGATTATTGTGCTTGCCAAATAAAAGCAAAACGCTGAAAATTATTGAAATCGGACTAAAATTACGCCCACTTTTTATATAACGGTAAATTTCAGAAACGCTTGAAACTTAGATATTTCGAAATTTAAGGGCGTTAATTTACACAAAATTGATACTAACTACAATCCCTTGAAAAGATATAGCATTATTATGGAATTTTCGAAAATGCGCGTAATACCGCACACATATAACTACATAACTCAAACTGTTCGCTACATATATTTTTAAGCTAAATACATCAGCTCCTGAATTGTTGTGTGTGTTGTGTTAAACTTATTTTGCTTGTCTTTTTATTAACATAAGTGTTATTAAATCTTTCAATATGAAGTGTGATCTTGATAACTGCCAAATCNTCATGCGGACTGCGCCCCTCGTGCGGATGGGCGGGAATGGAGGGTAAAAACCGTTGGGATATTATTATTATTATTATTATTATAAGTTTATCGAAGATGTGTGAAATAGACGTAAAACCACCACTGCTTACCATGTAGCGGTAGCTTTCGGAAAAGTGAAAAACTTAGACCTTTTTACTTGTTTAGCGTAAAATGCAGAAAAAGTAGCAATTTTAAAGAAAATCGATTCTCCTGTTCCAGTTAATAAATGAAGGAGTTAGAATCATAAGGGGCTAAGTGGCATTTTTCGAAAATATAAGTTATACCCATATTTGTATAGTTAAATATAAGGTTTATTTGGTGACAAAGAGAAAGACTTGCATATTTCAAGTCATGAATATGTCTTTAAGCCATAAGGGCTCCAACTCCACCGAAGATTACGTACTTAAAATGCCACCTATTCATCAAGATTTTTATTTAAATATTCCCCAAGAGACAAAAGCAAACAACAAAAGTTCTAAGAAGCAAAGGCAAAGGGCAATTATAGTTCAAGATGGAAATACAGAATCAGATGAAGTCCACGGCAGTGTTTTGTCAGATTACGATGATTAGATATATTTTAGTATAGTTAATGTTGTAAATTATAACTTTTTTACATAATAAAATGTAGATTTTCAAAAAAAATAAGGTTTTCCATTTATTTCCTTACAGAAATTTACCTAAGTAGGTACTCAGAAATAAAAGGATCCAAGTGACAAAAAAAAAAAATATTTCAGTTGTTTTCCATCTGCAGTAAGAATTCTTCGAATTAGGCAAGAATCATTTCAAAGGCATTTACACAGAATTTTCAATAAGTAATCAACCTTAACCTTAATTATCTCAAAAGAAAGCCTTACTCAGATCCTTTTGATTCTAACCCCTTCAAATGTTACATATGAAATGAAAACTAGTTGATAAAAATTGCAGAGTTTCACAAAAACGAAACAAAATTAGAATTTTATAAAAAAAATTTTCATTAAAATTAAATTTATTGTTTTTGGGTTTTAGCAAAATTTTGGGTATGCAGTTTTTAGATAATTAAATTTTAGTATAATAATGTGCAAGTTGCAAGTGGCTAAGAGTTTGATTTGATTTTTAATACACACATCACATACATAAATACAAAGTTATTTAAAATAAACTATTTGCTACTCGTGCTAAATAGTATGTTGGTGCTTGTAACAAGTTTCTATGTGTATATACTTAAGTAAGAACTTTTTACCGTTTTCTAATTTTTATTGCGTCCATAAATTTTGGCATCAATGGAAAACGAAACTACATGTCATAAGTTAGCTCTATTTTACACCCGTCAATCATTCTATTGTACTAGCAGCAACTATTTAAGTGCTAACACAAAACAGAAAACTACAACAATAATAAGTAGAAAAAATTGCTGTCGAAAAACAGCCAATAACAATGAGTTCGAATAATTACCGTTAAGTGAATGCGGTTAATGCTTTTAAATGTTAACACGTTAAGTCAATAACACCTTTGCGCTGCTATAAAAGACGTTTTAAAAATGTTTAACATTAAAAAAAAAAAACAACAACAATAACAATAACTGCGTAAAGCCACACAAACGTATGTAGGTTGCACATTTACACACACGCCGGCATTTTCGAGCATTTTAATAGTCAACAATAATCCAACGAGTTGGTAAAAATGGTCCATAAAAAAGTATTCGACAACAGCGCAGCAGCAGCAAACGTACGTAGGTGGCAAACAGTCACCAGCAGCCAACCGAACGGTCAACCCATCAACCAGTGTCACCTCAGTGTCAGTAATCACCACGCAAAATGTGCCACCGCCACCGCCACCGTAGAGGCAACAGGGAATTGCAAACAATTTTATCGCTTTTGCTCCTGCTGCTGACCATCAGCGGCGCACTCGCCACGCTCAGCCCACCCAAACGGGCAGAGAGGAACACCGAGAAGGTGTTGTCGCGTAAAAGGCGGTATGTCGCTTTTCCGGACGGTTCCTCATTGTCGGTAAGTAAAGTGAAATAAAATAAAACGTTTGCCGCTTAAAAGTGATAAAAAGTGCCGACCGAAAAGGTAGCGAATGAAAGGTCATCAACGGGTATAAAGTGAAGAACACAAAAAAGAGTGGCAAACAGTGACATTTTTATAGCAATTTTAATTGCTTTTTTTCGCACAAACTATAATCGTAATTGTTTTTAAGGCTTCCATTTGTTTAACCATCGGAGTTATTGGCAATCCCAATACGGACTTTCTTAGTTGGGCAGAAAATTGGGGTGTGGCCTACGATCTGCCCAATTACACTTGGGTTAAGGAACATACGCGAGGCTTTAAAAAGGATCAGGATATGAAGAAGACAAAGGCGGTGGTGAAACGACGTTCAAGGCGCGATTTATTTGGAAAATTGGAGACAATTATTGAAAAGTGAGTAAAGCTGTGAACAAGATGGGTGGCTTTAGTGCGTGTATGTGTGCGTGGTTCATTATATGATCGATCGGGCGATAGTCAAATGAATGCCGAGGCAGAAGTGACCATTTATGGGCGAAACTGTAGTATGTATGTTCGTGCTTGTTAAACCAACGGACATCACATCTAGCATTGCTTCACGGGAGGAAAGCGATTTAATTGCCGCTGCCGCTGTGTTGAACTTCCGCACATTTAATATCTTCGTATGAATTACATATGGCTGCAAATTTCACTATCGTGTCTACGCTTGTTTCCAGTGGCAGGACCTTACCAGATATCGCAATTAGATCTGCCCTTTCCGCTTTGCATCGTTCGTTGTCGTACCCGAGTCGGTAAAGATAGCTTCTGTAGTACCAAATGGTGGCTAAAAAATTTATTTTCCGGGGCCTCCGTGTCATTGATCCTGCTATATGTATATAATACGTCGAGCCAACCGCTTCGTATTTGAAGTAATGCATATTTCTCTTCCTAACGGGCCCTTCTTTAGCTTTCGCATTCGTCTTCTTATTTCGTTCTCGTCAAAACTATTTTTGTTTCGTCCGTCGCTTATATAGGATGCATCAATGTTTTCTTTGTCGTCATCCAGGGTAGCCAAATCGGAACTCCAGGATTTGTGTTCTTTCTATGCCGCTCATTTTTGGATGTATTCTTGTCTAAGCTGTTAATGTTCGCATATTTTTGAATAACATACTAAGCGTGTCTTTAGTACTTGATTTTATCGATGCAATTCGTACTTAAGTTTCTGCAAACTCAGGTTTTTTTTACTCTTCACAACAACCGCTCAATTATTTATTTCGCTGGCGATAAACCAATATTTGCCAAAATCTCCACTATACATCACATTCTAGAATGGGGGATCTAGCAAAAAATCTGGCTGTGATGATGAACGTCTTTTCCCCTACCAGACATATGTATGTACATATATTTACCGACGGCAGAGGGCTGCTACGAATCTTCGCTCTAGATTTTGCCTTTTATTGCTGCGATGGATCTCCTCTACGGTGAACTCTGCAAATTCATGCTCGTGATTTGATAAATAGCTATCTGAAACATATGGTAAAAGTGCTATTTTTATTACTGATTTGAGTGGTTCCTGCCCGAAGACGAGGCCAAGAGGAAATTTCTTCTGCCATCAAAACAAACAGTCAGCTCATTCGCGCCTTGGCAGCCACGTGGTCGTTGATGGTTAGATTTTCGATAATTTGGTTTACTGGGGAACCAGAATTAGCGCCGATAATAACGTCAGCATCGAAATCCAACACAGAATCAAGGATTCATGGCTGACTAAAGACAAGTTCGGCTAGCTAAGAAAATTGATACGACCACAGCAGAATGTGTCGTTGGAAAAGCAACAAAACATGTGTTAGCTTACTAAATACGTAGCAAATTTACACCTAAAATGCTACTTAACGTTATCGCCACTGGTATCTCTTTATTATTCGTTAATGCAATTTAAAAAAATAGTAACACGCAAGTGTAATTGCAATGTATCGATCTCCTAACGAAATGTGTAATAATAAATGTGATAATAAAAAATATGCATAACTGCATACAAAGTAGCACTGGCAAAATATCGATAATCCGATGCACCGATACTATTACCTACAACCGTCGATAGTTTAGTTTCGGTTTATAGTGTATAAGACTGGAGCTCCACACCAATTATTTGGAGGTTTTCAGGCCTACAGCACTTTATTCAGCTTATGAGACTTGGAGATTTGCTTTAATGACTGGGGTTAAATAGCTGTTTTCTTAAATCCTTGATTTATCCGATGTCTGCCAAATAAACCGTGTTTGAATCTTCAATAGAATCCAAAGTGTTGTTGCTAATTGCCGTGTAATTGATTTCATTTTCAAGAAGAGTACTCTTCTGGATTCATACGAAACCCGCCTTGATATGTATAAAAACAATTAACTGCTTGACAAGGGAGAAAAAGGTGAAATGGTGGTTTCTATCGATAGTCGATAGTTGTTCGATCATCGATAGAACTATCGTGAAATGGAAACCAACGATAGTCGCGTCGATAGTATCGATAGTTTGGCAGCCTTAATTCAAAGTTCACAAGCTTGCTGGTTAAAAGTAAATAATTATTTCTAAGCGAAAAAGTCTCCGGGTTTAACACGGATCCAACCTGCCAAGCCTAGTCGCAAACGATGGAACGATCAGCTGTTGGAGCTTTACAATGACATGGACATAGTGCACCGATAGACCAGCGTCTCAGCTGGCTTGGACAACGACGATCCAGCTCTGATACTATTCAACACTGCGATGAAAAGACCAAGTGGGGAAGCAATTGGCTTAACTTGCCGTTTCTAATTGACACAGAAGGGAAACGACTGGCGTGCTTTGTTGAACACGACAAAAATCGTTTAGGCGGTCACTGCCGCAATTAAGAAGGAAGAGAAGAGGAAAAGTTCAAATACTATTCGGTTTAAAATCCGTTTGCTGTTTTAAGATCTAAATTAAATTAGCTACATGTAAAGGTGTGACTAAATTACTTCTATCAGGAAAATCCTAACCAATAAATTTAAAAATCCGTGAAAATAGAGTTTGTTTCACAGGAGCCCGAGGGATCCTGCGGGTGCCCAAAATAGCCCAGAAAGTATTCCTCACGCTAGAAAAATGGGTAATAGAGAGCGAATACCTTCCACTTTTGGATCATAAATGTCTTCTTCTTCGTGCCCGAAACAGCCCGGACTTTTGTTCCGGGCAGAAATGTGCGAGAGGTCAATTTGAACAGCAGTGGTTTGCGTACATACGAAATGTGGTTTTTTGTGTTCCTCACGTTCTGGGAACTTTTGGCACGTGAGATAGAGTAACTTATTCTAACGCTCTAATAACCGAAACAGCCCGGAAAGCGTATGGAACAAAGGTAATATTACCAAATAGTCACTTTGTAGGTAACTTTCAGGTTATTTCTGTGAAAAAACTGGCTTTGCCATTCGCTTTGTGCAAGATGAATGCTTTCGCATATTTATAAAGAACTAAACCTATCGTAAAACAGTCTTTTAAATCGCTGATTTTGGAGTACTTAGCTCCTTTAGTTTTTTTTTTCGTTTTTTTTTAGATTTTTTAGAAGAGCTGAAATATTTTAGCGAAATGTATGGAGAAAATATGGCATCTAATGTACACATATGTAAATTTCGTGATTGACGAGCAAATTTAGCTCACGTCATCAAAAGTTTCAGTTAGGCACGATGACGGAGGTTACGTGATTTTCTCACAAAACTGCTCGCGTTCACGCGGGAAATGATTTGAAAGTTGTGTCACAAGCGATAAAATTGCGCTCATCTTACCAGGCGGTGTTGATTCGCTTACAAAATCGCTTCATGTAAATGCTGCTTCAGCTTTACGTATGATTGAAGAAACATCGGTTAAACAACAAAACAGGTTCAGAATGTCCCTTCTTTTTCGATTTTTGGTTTTGGTCTTAAACGGAAAAGGGTCTTAGAGTAAAAGAAGGCAAAATATATATTTACCTAAGCCAGAGAACAATTTATTAAATATAAAAAATAGAATATAGAATGTAGTGGCTAATAAATACACTTTTTTTTTTAATTAAGATTAAACCCAATCACGTGAGAATAATAGTAATCATTTGTCATAGCCCCCTCCTCATAAAAAATATGGACTCCCCTAAGCGGATGTAAAAATCATTTTTATAAATATTTCTCAAAAAGACTGTTCTTTTCTTTTCAGCATGGGCTTTAACGGGCATGCTTGTATTGCACGTGCGCTGTGTGAAAGTTCCAAATATTTGCATGACACTCGACAAAAGCGTGGAAATATGATTACGGAAATAATTAAGTCCATATTTAGGTGAGTAAATATTTAACCATTTCCCGTCATTCCATATTCTAATATTTGAGTTAAATTTATTTAATTCAAAACTTTCAGCCTACCCTCTGAGCCAGTATACGCAGATGAACCGGATGTTATGCATCACTATGATCGCATATATAAACGTGCACGTCGTGAGGTGCTCGATTGCAGTGTGGAGCATTCTCAATGCCACTTTTCGTTGTTGGAAATGGCCTTCGGCAAGTATTCCGTAGAACCAACAAAACATGGTCCACATCTGCTGCCAAACTTACATAGGGGACGGGGTTTCATGTAATGAATGAATTGTTTAGCAAAGATAGTCCATAAATATGTACTCAATAATAAAGTAACACAATAAATTTATTTGTATAACATTCATACATAAATATTTATAAACACACTTATATTGGTTAGGTTAAGACAGATGGCCGCACTACTAAGGTGGATTCCTGGTCAGAGCACCATCAAAAATTATTTGTTCCGAAAAATGGTCGCTCCTCGGCAGGCATTGTCAAACCTCTGAGCATATTTCTGCCATGAACCATGAAGAAGTTTCTCATAAAAACTTTCTCCCATTTACTCGCGGTATAAAACTTTAGGTTCCCTCTTCGCACAGTGAGAGAAAAGACGAAAAACCTGGCCAATATTCCAAAAACTAAAGTTGTTCGACTATTGCAAAACATGGTAATTTATCAAGAGGAAGGTCCATTGCACAGTGGATGAAAAGTATAAGGTACCCTTTTTTGTATCTTCTTCTCTAGCGCAGTTTGAACTTGCTATTCTCACTAAAGTTTGCGCCGCTTTCCTCGCCGGCTCTAAAATTTGTGCTTCGGAAACTTGGTTTTAGAATAGTGGTTAAAGCATTTAATTATTTTTTGCAAGATAGAGAGCGTTTCTGACGGTATCTTAACTAATCTTAATTATTAAATTTAAATACAAATAAATATATCTAAAATTAATTGTAAGAGCTATCTCAATTAAGTACAGATATACATAACCAGGGAACGGATTTTATGGAAATTGCCTTTCTTTCTGCTTAAGAGATAGAGTATATTTGATGAAAAATGCCCAACTTTTAGCTTTCCATGGTTCTGATGTGGTCTTTTTTACCTTTTTTAAGATATTTGCCTTTTCTACCTTAAAGGCCAGTATAATACTGGCCCTGTATGCAGCTCTCAAGAAAAGCAAAAACTCCATATAAAATGACGTACAAGAAATGGCAAAGAAATTTTTTGGAGTCAAATTTGCTTAAGGCTACGATTTCTAGTACAAGTTTCTAAAGTTTTTTTTTTCTTGGCGGCCCATGTTTGCAACAGAAATAAATATATGCCCGTTACATTATTTATTGAGGAAAGAGTGAGAGAGCAGGATATGAAGTATCAGATGTCAAAATTCCTTGGGCATACACACGAATTAATGGCAATTTTTATACCCGAGCGCACTTGTGCACAAGGGTATATTAATTTTGTTCACATAACGGTTGTTTGTAACAGCCAAAACGAATCGAGATAGATATAGACAAATGTATACATAAATG